TTGCGAGGATGTGATCGTTGGCAGGTTTAGGAAGCAGATACGAGTCGGTCGTAGGCCTTGCTCTCCGCTGTGTAGCATCGAGTTCGGTTGACGGTCCGGATCGGTCTGGTCCTGATTAATTCGGCGTCGCGGATTATATACTTGACGCTTCTTTGTCTCCGCGCCTCGTACACGTGTGCGTCGCGTGCTCGCGGCGCTCGCTCGCTATTGTTTCCGCTGTGCTTGATTTCTCGCGTGATCTTCGCTCGCTTTGTTTATATTCGTTATCGTGTTTTGTTTGTCGGTCTTTCGGAGTTTTATTGTTGGCGCAACGCGCCGGTGCACGGCCCGACTGATGGTCGGTCGGGCCGGAGTAGTGACGATGCAGGTGTGCATCGTTACATCACCCCCGTCCTAGGGCGGGTCGTCGGGGAGTCTCTGGCAGGCCCGTAGTTGTCCTATCCTGTTAAACCTAAGCATCCATCGCCCTTCCGGTATGCGTACTCGATACCGGCGGGACTCATGTACCGCGAAGTGTGGTACCATGGTGATTAAGCCTGGACGCAGCTCCACGGGTATCGGTGGCGGTAGCGACGGCGGAATTATACGGAGCGGTTCCGTCGTTGCTCGGTCGGTTGCCCGTTTGGTCGCTGTCCCTGGCTGGCCTCCTGTCTTTGTTATTAGCGGTGTTTCAGTTGTTGGCTGGGCTGCGGTCGTTCTTGGTGCTGGTGTTCCTGCCGGTGCTGGTGGTGACGCTGTTCTCTTCGTTGCCCTTCTTGCGCATGCTGGTTGTATTTGCACTGCGCTTGTGCCGGTTTTCCTTGTGCCGGCGGCACGTCCTCGGCGCCCTGGCGGTGGGGGCGGCGGAGCCGTAAGGAAAATGGCTTTCCTTTTTTGCGCGGCGTCCGATCGTTGAATACGCGTGCCTCTTGATGGCAGCGTGTTTATTGGTGCTCTCGTTGCGGCCGCCGATATTGGCTTCTCCGTCCTCGCTTTCTTTTCTGGCGGTGTCTCAGTTGTTTCCGTTGTTGACTGTTGAGGCGGTTGGTTGTCCTCTGTTGATGTCGGCGGTGGTAGTGCCGACGGTGATCGAGGCTGCGGTGCCTCGGTTTCCTCGTCGTCCGAGGACAGAAGCAGGTCCGTCCAGAGGAGGTCTACTCCTTCGATCTCGTAAACTTTCTGTGTCGGCATCTTTCCTATCAGTTGCCTCGTTGGAAAGTGAGACTTTCTTCGTTGTGCGCTCCTTTATGTATTGTTTATCGTATCGCCTTCGTCGTCCTCCTCGCTGTTGTTGTTCTGTGGCTTTAAGTCCTGAACGTGTATATGCCGGTGCCATCGACCGTTTTTGTCTTTCAGGTCGACGACAACCGGCGATATTATTTTTCTCACTGTCATCGGACCTGTGTATTTCGGTGCTAATTTTGCGTTGAAAGCTTTCGCCTTATTAGATAGCGGGTATTCTCTTTTCCATACTTTTTCGTTGATTTTTGGCTTCCAGTTCCGTCGTCTTAAATTATAATATTTTTCCTGTCGCTGGAATGCTCGAGCCAGGTTTATTCTTACCAGCTCGTTCGCTTCTTTTAGCCTTTTTTGTCGAGATGCTGGTTCTTCCCTTCCGTCCGTGTTATCCGGCGTGGTGTCTATCTCTCGCCCGTAATTTAAATAGGCGGGCGAGTAGCCTGTGGACTCCTGTACTGCCGTGTTATAAGCGAACTGCAGGGCCGGCAGGTGTATGTCCCACTTTCGGTGGTCTCGCCCTACATATTGTGCCACCATTGTTTTTACGACCCTGTTGGTCCTTTCTACTGGGTTGCAATGGGGTGCATGGACGGGGGTGGTACGGTGCTTTATCTTGTGCGCTGTGAGCATTTGTGCTAGTTGTTGGGATTTTAATTGGGTGCCGTTATCGGAAATGATGGTCTGGGGGCAGCCGTGTCTGTATATAATCGTGTCCATTAGTGTCTGCGTCACGATGTTCGCCGTTGCCCGCCTTATCGGTCGCATTTCTAGCCACTTCGTGAATCGGTCCTGCATTGTCAGGATCCACGAGTGGCCGTTGTTTGATCGCGGTAAGGGGCCAATGAGATCCATGGTAACTTGTTGCCATGGACCCCTTACCGCGGTCGCGTGCATTTGCCCGGCTGGTTTTACCTGCTGTGCCTTGTAGGCCAGGCAGTTCTCACACGTTTTTACATATCTCGCGATTTCCCTGAACATGCCTGGCCAGTAAAACTGCCGGGCTATGCGGGCAATGGTCTTTGCTACTCCCAGGTGGCCGGCGGTGGGTTCGTTATGATATTTTCTTAATATTTCTATTCTATCCTCTTTTGGTACGCACTCCTTCCACTGTTCCTCTGCTCGTGTTTCATTGAAGTCGAGGTTGTGGAGTATGTGCCTCATTAGTTTTCCCCCTATTATTTTGTAGTCTGGTCGCGTGTTCGGTTCCTCGGCCACCTGGGATTTTATTTTTCGATACCATTGGCATGCGGTGGTGATGGTACATATTTGTGGTTGCCTGGACAGGGCGTCCGCGACCGTGTTTAGACTGCCTCGCCGGTATTGAATCTCAAAATCGTACTGTTGTAGCTCGATGATCCATCGAGCTAATCTCCCTGTTGGCGCCTCCACTTTCTGCAGCCACCGGAGGGACTGGTGGTCTGTGATGACTGTAAATCTGTATCCCTCCACGTAGTCGCGGAGGCGCCTTATTCCCCATACCACGGCGAGGCATTCCAGTTCGGTCGCACTGTAATTCCGCTCCGCCCTGTCCAGAGTCCGGCTTGCATACGCGATTACCCGTTCC